CCTGCAATAAGCGATACCACCATTGACTTGACACAGTGGAAGCACATTTCTTGTCATGAATCAGACCAATGAATGAGATGGAGGCGAGGCATGCGAATGACAGAACTTCCACCAGGATTACCAAACGTATTGCCATAGCTGAACTCATTTCGTTCTTCTTGTCATTGTAGGTATTCTGTTGAGGACGTGTTTCCACAGCAGCCACTCTAGTTCCCATCTTGAGAATCCATCTGCTGAGGCTGCAGGTTACTCCAACCGTTGTTGCAACCAGCGTCATGGATGTCAGGAAGGTGAAGGCATTACTTGCCACCACAGATCTACTGGCAGCACACATTGGATCGGAGGTGAAGTGGGAGGTCCACGGAGTTATCACACCTATATTAGAAGAAGAGTGAAAATGGTAGAACATGCAATCATCTGTGGAAATGGTTTGGTCGATCTGATTCAATGTTAGCAATAACGAATACATATCTTGTCAAGATTAAGATGCAATCATCTGTGGAAATGGTTTGGTCGATCTCATTCAATGTTAGCAATAACGAATACATATCTTGTCAAGATTAAGATGCAATCATCTGTGGAAATGGTTTGGTCGATCTCATTCAATGTTAGCAATAACGAATACACATCTTGTCAAGATTAAGATGCAATCATCTGAGGAAATGATTTGGTCGATCTGATTCAATGTTAGCAATAACGAATACATATCTTGTCAAGATTAAGATGCAATCATCTGTGGAAATGGTTTGGTCGATCTCATTCAATGTTAGCAATAACGAATACATATCTTGTCAAGATTAAGATGCAATCATCTGTGGAAATGGTTTGGTCGATCTCATTCAATGTTAGCAATAACGAATACATATCTTGTCAAGATTAAGATGCAATAATCTGTGGAAATGGTTTGGTCGATCTCATTCAATGTTAGCAATAACGAATACACATCTTGTCAAGATTAAGATGCAATCATCTGTGGAAATGATTTGGTCGATCTGATTCAATGTTAGCAATAACGAATACATATCTTGTCAAGATTAAGATGCAATCATCTGTGGAAATGGTTTGGTTGATCTCATTCAATGTTAGCAATAACGAATACATATCTTGTCAAGATTAAGATGGGTGGTTTGTTGTTTAACGCCGCAATATTCCAGTCATATGACGGCGGTCTGTAAATTATTGAATCTGGACCAGACAATCCAGTCATCAACAGCATGAAGATCGATCTATACCATTGGGATACGATGACGTGTGTCAACCAAGTCGGCGAACCTGACCACCCGATCCCGTTAGTCGCCTTTTACGACAGGGTTGCTGAAGACCAGTTCTAATCCGGATCTTCAGGGGTTTCAATGCATAGACATTACTATTTTCACACAAAAACAGTTTCATTATTTATATCTGTGAGATCTTTCGAGTAACACCTTGTATATGTGCCTGTGATCAGGTTGATTCTAGTAGCTTGACATTAAACCTGGGTATGACACGCTGTCTAAAACCCAAGTAAAACTGGCTAGCTAGACTGGAAAGGGCCATCCTTCACATCACGTCAATACATAATACAACACCACAAACCAGACAGACCAGATCCCGTGAATCCGAAATCCGGATGCTGATAAATGTTGGTAATAGATGCAGTATCCCATAACCAATCTGGAAAGTTATTAATGTTTATGTTCAGGTTTGTCCCACATCTGAAAGTGAGTGTTTGTCTTCACGGCCAAGTACCTGGAATATCAAGTGACAAAAAAACCTAAGTTTATACAACACATTGAAACCCCCCCCCCCCCACGTACACACACATACACGCACACACTCACACCCATCTATCTATCTGTCCATTTGTCTGTCTGTCTCTCTATCTGTCTATCACACCAAATAAATAGAACATCAAATGTGCTTCAGATGTGCTTTTCACCTAGAAAAACAAGCTGCATATAGTGTTCATCGCGTAGAGTGTAAGTGAGTGAATTTGGTTCAAAGCCGCTATGGACAATACCACGGCGTGGCAGCTTAATGAGCGGGCAAAGCCTGATGTCATACACGTGGCAGACGTTTTTGACCTTGGCATATACTGCTGTCAAAAGTACAAACATAATCGGAATAACCCGGGATTCGAACTTGTGCCTCGCATACATCCCCTAGCGATTTGGAGAACTAGGCCATTCGTGTCCCCTAGTAGCAAATTTCGATGTAGATAATACTTGAGCAGAAAGTATATTGTGTTTGGTAGCAGGACAGGATCATGATTGTACCATATAAAACATATTAAATGCTTCTCCTTGTAGTGAGTGAGTTATGTTTCGCGCCGATCATGACATTAAGGGTAAAATAAATACCAAGGGCACCAGAGGTGTGCCTCGCACGGGTGACCTGGTCGTGTACATCCGGGGTCATACCTCATCATCCGTCTGACGTATCCCTATCCGTATTATTGACAAGTATTCGCATATACGTTTTCACTTGAGATATTATTACTGTATCACAGTTGAATGAAGTTCAATTAAATTGAATTATGTGTCATGATACTTTCATGTATTTTTAACCACATATTTACAACCTCCAAAACATGAATTCTGAGCGAAACTAAACTTTCTCGCCCAGGGGCCCAGCTTGCTCTCTCGAATCTTAGCGCTTTGTTGATTATGACACCTATCACTATACAACAGACTGTTTGTGGCACCAACATGGTAAACGGGTGTCGCAAACATCAGCCGGTTTTCGGTTAGCATATTGATGATTAAACATGAAACGTTGTTTAAGGCGGCATTCCATCTGTGTCATCACTTCACATATCCACCAATGTACACATATTCGTTGTACACACCTGTCTATAGAAAGGCCAGCTGTTGCGACAAGAGCTACACTGCTTATATAATCCATGACAGCTTGAATTCCTGGGAGATGGTGCTCCTCGGGGGAGGCCAGCTCGTACACCTGCAGACCCGTCCCCAAAGCAAGGAGAGCCATGTCGGCGACAGTCATTAGGGCAAACAGACCTGCAACAAAAGAGCAGATGTGGAAGTGGACAGTGCATCTTTTTGCGTCGGCACTTGCTCTTACTTATGTATTTTCGCTTAAAAGGTCCTTTGAAACAACTACTGATTCATCCCACCAACTTCAGAATACAACTGTTACTTCTTCGTTTTTTACTTTTGTGCTAGTTTAAACGCATCAGTTCAGAGGATGTTGTATACACTTTCTGCTGAACAATTTCATTAATGGCCAATAGTTATCCCCTGTATGTTCTTTGAATTAATTTGTTCACTCTGTGTTAAGGAAGTAAGCAGTTTATTAACTGAGTGTGTTTATTCAACATATACAGTCCTAAAATTGTCATTGTATATGTATAGTGAGATAATACCTTTATCATTGACCTTTCAATAATCTTTGTTTCGTAAGTCTTACTTTATTGCCTGTATTTACTTTTTATATGGTCAGGGAGTATTTGCAACAATGTCCTTGAATTGACTGGGCAAAACTGGGCTGTTTACGTCGCGGTGGTGTAGACTAATGCTTAAAGCATTCGATTACCCGCATGGGTACACTGTGTGACGCCCATTTCTGGTGTCCCCACCGTGAGTTTGATTGTCTACTGCTGGGCTGTTATTTTTTCATAATTGTCTGAGTCTCGGATGCTACTTGGAGAGCAGGACATGTTTAGCCTTTTCGCTAACACCTGTCAAGTGGTCAATTGATTTGATTTTCACTAGTATTTGACCTCTTACGCCACATCTAATTTACTGAGGCTAATTATTTACTGGTATTGAGGATTTAAATAAAATAGTTCCTGCCTCAATGCTTTGTAGTCAAGGAATATTTTACTAGACCTTGACCATAGGTCTAAAGGTATCCTCTTGTTTACTGTAGAATAACATATGTGTGTTGTATTGTCAGATAATACTGTAAGAATGTGTGTATATTCAGGGGTCACTTAAAAATTATTTGCGTTGTCTATGCAATTAAATGAAATTTGTGCCCATACAGTTGATTAGCACTGATGATTAAGTCGTTGAATACGACAGAATAAAAAAAAAATTCTAATTATCGCCATTATGATGAAAATGTGAAGGCAACATCAGTGATCCTTATCTAGTTAATGGACCCAAAACCATTTACTTGACTTTATTCAACCCTGTGCTAGTTGATCCTAAACACGAGTAACTCCAAGCATGGAGAAAATTGAGGCGCGCAATGTTATCAAGTTTTTGCACTTGAATGGATGTACTGCCCGACAGATTCAAGAGGAGATGAAATCTGTTTATAGTGAAGATAGCCCATCTTATCTCATAACTTTGAAGTTTGTGCAAATGAAATGGGCGCTGATTAATACTAAGATCAAGACGATTACGTGTATTTCCTGATGCACATCTGTGTGTTGTGTATCTTCCTCTTGTGTGTTTTGCTTAAAACAATCCTTAATTGCATGAACAACTATAACACATGTCACTAACTCATAAAAGACAGCTTTATCTTAACAACAACAACAACAACAACCCATAATTCTAATATTGACTGTGACAAACATCACAATAAGAAACATACTTTCTAAAGTTTAATTTGATTTTTCGTTTTTAGTCTCCCAAACCCATTGATGGCTAGAATGCACTTTACCGGGCGCAGCCCTCGCTGCTCCCTTTACGATCCTTAGGTTTAGGGTAAGGGCATGCCACCCTTTACGATCCTTAGGGTAAGGGTATGCCACACTTTACGATCCTTAGGGCTAGGGTTTAGGGTTAGGCACCCTTTACGATCCTTAGGGTTAGGGTTAGGGTTAGGGTTAGGGAACCCCAGCAGCGCTAATTAATCTGAAAAAGTGCGCCCGGTAAAGTCCAGTACTCCCCCATTGATATTTGCTGAGATTGCAAGATTGGTCTATTAACCAAGTTTTATTTATTTTTGAGAAATGTATAAAGAGATTTGATTTCAACTCAGCCTGTAGTAGATTTACCCTCTTTGTCCTATTTATAAAAAGCAAGAAGAAAAGTATTTGTGGAAAGATTTGTTTCCATTCAATGATATATTTCTTGTTTTTCTTTCAGATTTTTAAATTCTGTCGATCAAAATGTCACAAAGCATTTCAGAAGAAGAGAAACCCAAGGAAAGCTCCATGGACCAAGGCATTCAGGAAAGCTCATGGCAAAGAACTTACAATCGACCCATCGTTTGAATTTGAAAAGAGAAGAAATGTTCCTGTTAAATATGACAGAGAGCTTTGGCAAACCACATGTGAGCTTCGTAATCAAACACTTGGGGTCAAGAGGCCCCATGGGTGTCATGGGTGTATTCGAGCCTAACAGGACTATGGAGTTTGGATCCAGGTTTGGCTTGACACTGAACGTTGTGTCAGTGGCATCTTTCCCATCTTCTTTTGTTTTATAGGTGGTGATGGCATAACATTGTGGTTTGATTTTAAATATAAGTACAATGTGTGAAGATCATTTCGGGTTTCCTCAATCATGGTATTTAGGGAATATTGCTAAAAATGTCATAAAATATGACTTGCTCACTATTTGATTTTAGAAGAAAAGATATATAAATGTACAGTTGGAATTTGGTATTACATATTCAGTATGTCGACCAAGTAGCAACTACAGCAGGGGTGGAAATAACCCATTGCCCGACGTCCCAGTCCAGTGTTCTATTCTGTCGGGCAAGACGATTTGTATATCACGCTGTACCGGTGTCCAGTTGACTTTCCAATGTTAATTATGTTGTTTATTTTAAAAAATCAACAAGAAAATCGGCCGGTATAGTGGACAAATTATCAGGGCAAGTGATTTTACATGTGCCACTGTACCGGAGTACACTAGCAATTTTAAAGTTATTTCCACCCCTGTACAGTAAAGTGATCTGTACTCTAAAACCAGAATAGGTCAATATTCTTCTATAGAGTGTGTCACAACACAGCTTTATCAACATAATGTCTTCAACAAACATAAATGTTATAAATAATTTATGCCTATTTTTATATAATGTTGGGAAAATAAGAGATTCTGATTTTTAACTGTAAAACGCATGTTACTTCTTATATCTATGAATGTTTTGTGGGCCAGTGGCCTATTACTGACTAAAATGTCTGTCTGTCTGTCTGTTTAAGTGTAGGAGATAACTCATAGTTATTTTTGCATGTAGGTCTCATTCAAGGTAGTTAGTTGAAGGGCCACTATTCAGTATTTAGATTATCGGAGGCTTTCATAATCACTAATCTTCCAGTAACATTCACCTGACTGTTTTAATGTCAGAGAAGTAGCCATTTATATCTTGCCAATGCAACTAATTTCGAGTTGTTAAAACACTGCTCCAATTTCACATTAAAGGTATCTAAGCCACAGTTAGACCACCACAATATTAAAAGAACAGTCTGAAATGTAGATATAACAAGCTAAATCAAAGATGTTTCCTGTTTAAATACCATTCAGCAGTCATGTTAATCCAAGGGAGATAATTCATGTCCAACTGCCAACTGAAATGTCCCAGTATGACACCGCCAACTACTTAGAGACAACTACAATCAAATACCATTGTGTCTAATTGTGAAATGTCACACTTATGGTTTTATTAAAGTCCCAGAAAATTGAAATTCATAAGTTAATCATTCTGTGGGTTTGTTGATCCTCTGATAACTCAAAGCATTTATGTAGGTCCCATCAACTTTGACACATGTGTTGTTTTTTTTTGTACATGTTTATTTAGTTTGCTTTTAGCAATATTGAGCTAGGTTTCGTATGTTGAGAATTATTTCTTTCAATTTTCGTCTCATATCTTTGACTTTATTGCTTATGTTAGTTGAACTGTTTATCTAGACCAAAGATATTTTGCTTCTGAGTTTCACCTTTTGACTATTGAAAAAATTGGAGCAGCTGTTTATACCTTGCTTCTACTTTGTCCTTCAGTGAAAGCCATGCAGAAAATTCAGGAGATCCGGTCACGAAGGGAGAGACAGTTTGTTAAAAAACAGGTATCCGTGTTCCAGATGAGTGATTTTGAAATAGTATTTCTTTGTTTTTAGTGATGAGGATGCGTAATGCAAACTTGTCCTGCTGATGTGTATAATCAGAAACATGTGGGAATAAGTTAGGACATGTATGCTGAAGTAATTGCAAGTTTGTGAAAAGGGTCATTCCATGCATAAATAATGAATCATGACGTTTCATCATTGCCATTGATGGATATGTATCTGAATAAAGTACCCCAGATTCAGATCGTGATGAGACTCGTTAAGATTTTGGTTAGAATTGATCTTCAGTAACACACGCTTGTGGGCAAGAGGCGACTAATCGGGTGTCAGCCTTGCTAATTTGGCTGATACATGTCATTGTCTCTCTATTGCGTAGATTGATGCCCATGCTGTTGATCACTTGATTGTCTGGTCCAGACTTGATTATTTACAGACTGTCACAATATAGCTGCAATATTACTGAGTGCGGCGTTAGACAACAATCAATCAATGATCAGAGGCCCAGATAAGCTGCGTAAAATACGCATAGAATTACGCATTGAAAAATAATTGTTGCGTACCAATTACCCATTTAAAATGTTAGATACGCAAAGAGCTTAAAACAAATGCGTACGGAATATATTTATAAAAATCGCTTGCGTAATGAAAAAGACATCGATTGCTATCAAGTTGTACTGTTAGTATAGGACAAGTGTTGTACTGTCAGTATAGGATGAGTGATTTTATGAAATAAAAAATTTCCATTATATTTAAGTTGGTTTTGATTTGGTATGACATAAAGCAGAACATACCTGCTTAGTAAACTTACTCAATGACGTAATACTTATGTGAGTAAAGTGACTGAAATATGCACATATTTGAAAGCAGTGGGTAACGGAAAATGAAATACCCACTCCACATTCATAGTACCCACTCCAAAAAAATACAGTGGGTACAGTGCCCACATGAGCTAAATCTTATCTGGAGCTCTGCAATGATATTGTGAAAAACAGATTAACATGTCTTCTTTTTTTTTTCACTTTATTTCTTTTTTACGCATTGGTACAGTTTTATCATTCATACACAGCATTATTTCAAATACACAGCACAATTAAGTAACAAGCATAAGTGAGATCGAGTAGGTTATGTAAATAAGTTGTGGCATGATGACCAGAAAGTCGTGAACTTGCTATATTTGCATACCGAGTATGCATTATATTTATGGAGATTGTAACTGTGGTTTAATTTGGCTTTGAGACTTTCAAGGGTTGGACGTATATTTGCTAGTTTTCTGGAATATATATTCCTTTGTTATGATAAATATCAAGTTCAGAACATCTTAACGTTTTTCATGAAAGCCCAAAAGGATTGTTTTCGGATCCAGGTTTATAGGAGTGTCTGTTTTATCTTCAATCCAATTTAAAAGGTCTTGCCACAGCCTATTTACGTATCTGCATTCAAACATCAAATAAACAAAGGTTTCTTTTTCAGCCTTGCAAAATGTACATAGTGGTGATTCTAATATATTATAGTTGTTTAGGTCTTTATTGGTTGTGAGAATTCTGTGGACAATACGATATTGAAACCATCTTTCATTAGTGTTATGAACAGCTCTGAATGGTATAAAATGATAGGTATTCCATAAGTCAGGTGGAAAATTGTGATGAAGGTCGTTTTCCCATTTACATTGATATCCTAAACTTGGAATAGATTTAGCCTTGTTTAGTAGCGTTGTGTAGAAAATATTGCAGCCTCTCTTATTTTCATAGAGTATTTTTACATTCGGGGGAATAAAGGGTAAATGTCTTTGCTTTGTCAATAGCGTAGCTTCTTGCTTTGAATATTGTTTTATTGAAGATGCTAATCCCGCATATTCTTAGAAATTTGTCTCTACTCTATACATTTCTTTAAACTCAGTGAAAGATAGAAAGGATTCATCATCTTTTAGTACGTCATTTATAAAATTTACATTTGCTTTTAAGTAGTGTTCATATAGTATAGATTTGTTTCCATTTTTATATTGTTATTTGCCCAAATATACTGTTTGCAATAGTCGGATTTCGTGTAAGGATACCGTTCTTGTAAATCAGCCCAAGCATCCAGAACATCTTTCCAGAAAAGGTTTTTAAGTTTTGGGATGATGTGTGTTTTCAAGTAATTTGAGCCCATTTCTATTGGGTTTGTATTATTTACCATGTTATTTAAGATATTGTCGAATTTAGAATTTGTTGTAAACAGCCTTCTTATCCATGATATTTTTTTAGATTTTATAGTTTCGAGTATATCTGGAACTTTCAAGCCGCCTTCTTTATAGTTTCTGATTATCAGAGACCTTTTTATTTTATCTTGTTTGTCTCTCCAAATAAATGCGAAGATCTTTTTCTGGATCATTTGAATTGTATTCATTTTGGGGTTTGGTAGTGAGGAAAATAGATGATTGAGCGTGGGCAATATTAGGCTTTTCAGGATAGTTATTCTGCCGAATGGTGTGAGATCTCTATGTGACCAAAGTTTCGTTAATCTATCCATTTTCTTTAGTTTATCTTTATAGTTTCTTTCCACCATTTCTGCCTTATTATGTTGAAATATGATACCTAGCAGTTTGAAAGGTCTTTGCGTTCAGTCCAGAATATAGTCTCTGCAATACTGTGTACTTGAGAATTGTTTAGAACCTATCCACAATACTTTAGTTTTATCAATGTTTATTTTAAGACCAGAGAAGGATGTGTATTGTTTAAGCACTTCTAATGTTGTTTGAAAAGAACGTTCAGACCCGTCCAAGATTATAGTTATATCGTCTGCGAACTAAGTTAGCAAATATTCTAAGTCAAACATTTTTATCTCTTTTATTTTGTCATTTTGACGTAACATGTGAGCAAGGATTTCTGCGACTATGAGAAATAGATATGGCGATAGAGGATCACCTTGTCTACAGCCTCTAGTAATGTGGAAGAAGTCTGATGCAAAACCATTTATTGAAACACTAGAATTTATGTTGTTGTAAAATGTTTTAATCCAGTGTTTGATTGATGGTCCAAAATTAAAGAAGTTAAGACATTTCTCAATAAAAGACCATTCCACGGAATCGAAAGCTTTTTCAAAGTCTATCATTATCAGTAATCCTGGTATATTCATATAGTCTGTATATTCCATAATGTCACTGACCAATCTTGTGCATTCGCCAATGTATCTACCTTTCATGAAGCCTTTTTGATCGTCGCTAATTATTTTCGGGAGTACACGTTTTATTCGCGCTGAAATTACGGACAAGGCTAGTTTATACGATATGTTAAGGAGTGATATAGGTCTGTAGTTTTTAATTTGGTCTTTAGGTTTATCTTGTTTGGGAATACATGTTATAAGGCCCTGTTTTGGGCTTACTGAAAGTTCACCTGTTTTGAATGCCTGATTCAACGAGTTAATCAAATATTTGTTAACATCTTGCCAAAGGAATTTGTAAAATTCTGTAGTAAATCCAGATGGTTCAGGACTTTTATTGTTTTTCATATTTTTAAGAGATTGAAGTACTTCATCATATTGTAGTGCGTCTTCCAGGCATTGAGATTCTTCTTCAGTTATTTTAGATATAGTGCAATTTTTAAAAAGTTCTTCAAGTTCTACATCTTTTATTTCTTTACTAGTATATAGATTCTGAAAGTAATCTTTGGTATGTTTAATAATATCCTTAGTTTCGAGTATAGTACCGTGTGCAGTTTCTAATCTAGCAACGGATTTATTTTGAAAGTTTTGTTTTTCAAGTGACAGGAAGTATTTCGACGGTTTCTTTCCCTGTTCATACCATTTCGCTTTCGATCTTAGTATAATGCCTTCTGTTTTGTATCGGTTAAGTTCTAATTGTTGTTCTTTGAGTTCATTTATTTCTTTTAATAATTTATCTTTATATTCTTCGTTCATGGCTGCATCTAATTTGACGTCAAGGTTTTCAAGTGCTTCATTGGTTTCCTGTTCTGCTTTAATTCTTTCTTTCTTTTTTTGAGATGAATATTTAATTGTATATCCTCAAATATTACATAATAAAACTTCAAAGAATATTTGTTCGTTTATCATTAATACTCGCTCTCCTTCAGTGGATCGACTATAATACTGATCAACAGTTTCTTGAATAATGCTTTTGATTCCTTTCACATAATGTGGATCTTGTAATAAACTATTATTAAATTTCCAGAAGCCTCTACCCCTTTCTATTTTTGTGAATTAACATGTCTGATGTCTGTCTTTAGAGGGTGACAGTTTGGTACACATAAGAACTATGGGTGTCACTGTTCGCGTATGTATTTAGATGCTTTGGGAGGTATGAGTCATGGCAGACTTTGCCATGTAGCAGTTCATGTGTTAATGTTGTACAATGCAAAATGTGTTAATGTTGTGCAATGCAAAGACCAGTCTCATAACTATTAAGTTCAGTGCTACCTTATTGTTTGTGAGACTAAATGATCACATCTGCGTACTGATTAATGTACAGGGTGACCAGATAAATCTGTGTGGGCATACTCTGTCACTTGGATTATCTATCTATTAGCAAAAGTAATGTGAGTATTTAACAGAGATGATGTCAAATACACAATATTCTCCATGAGGGCAATCCATAACTACTTGAAGTTACAGTATGAAGCACATTGTGTTTTGAATTGTTTTGATGGACTGTTTTGTGTGAGGTGAGTCATAATGACATGTGTTTTGAAGTGATTTGATGGACTGTTTTATGTCAGGTGAGTCATTATGACGTGTTTTGTGTTGTAGGTTAAAGAAGGGTAAAGAACTGAGAAAGGAAGCTGACATCAAGGAGGCTGAGAAGAACATCCATCTTATTAAGTCACCAGCAGGTATGTATAGAGAAGACCTAGTGTAGACCCACTAAGTGTGTTAGTGTAGCAGTGTAAATATGTGTCTGGCATTATAGTGTGTATCTTATAGGGCGATAACATCTCATACTTGCTCGTTATTACACTAAACCAGGGATTTACATGGAGTCCTGTATTTGAGGGTCCCTTGGACTCATACTCGTAATTTTCACTTAAACGTTATTATTAATACTGTTCTTGTTATTGTGTATCATGATCATCACATTGTTACAGTAATTAACTTACAAATAATACCATAACCCAGCTTGTAGCAAACTCAGTGATAACTTATTGTCACTTGATTGGAACTTTTACAAAAAAGTTTTGGACTTTTTCTGCTTCCCTGTGGACGCGCTAATAAATTTGGTTGTGTCAATTGTTATACGTATAGGACGCAGGAATTCGCGTCCTGTAAATCCCTGCTAAACATTATGAATAATACATCAACAGCGGACTTGTTATTGTAGTCGTTATCCAATATATGTGATGCTTCAGATGCCTAAGTATCTTAGTATCTTTGCCTCAGAACTCAGTTTCTGATAGTTACAGCAGACCTCTCAGTAAGTGAGCGTAACAGGCTAGTTCAATAACTCTGTAGAAGACTTCATTATGAATGGGTGACACTGTAGGTCCTCATTTATAGAGAAGCCCTATCATTGCTACAGAAGTCTGTACAAGTTTAGTTGACAGCCACCCATGAAGATCTGAGTTAGAATTGGTCTTTAGCAACCCTTGCTTGTTGTAAGAGGTGACTGATGATTGCTGATTTGCTTGACACGTCATTGCATCCCAATTTGCGTAGATTGATGGTCATGATGTTAATCACTGGATTGTCTGGTCCAGACTGGATTACTTACAGACTACCATTATATATCTGTAACATTTTGGAAAGCGGTGGTAGACAACAAACGAAACAACTTAATAGTCTGACATGATTTGTGTGGATTCACATTTAGGCCTGTTAAGGGGACATAACTCTGTAAGATCCGTGAAAGTGTCATACATCCTGTTCCAAATACAATTCATTTGCACCCGTGTGGCCACTGATGAAAATAGATAAAAAGCTGCTCCACATTTAAATGTGCATATAGCAAAGTGAGAAAACTGACCTCCTTTGTATTGCTTACATTAAATAATAGATGCTTCATATCAGTGAGGCAAGATAATATTATCATGACACTTCTTCCCTTGAAAGTCTTACCTTCATGCCTTTCCATTGTTGCTCTGTCCTTGTGTACCGTTGTCAAGGAGTTCTTGCATTGTAGATAATATTAGTTTGTGTTTCAAGTTGTAATTGGCTCCTTGCATACTATGCATTTTATACGAGATGAATCAGGGGGTCAGTTTTGTGAGTCTCTTTATCAAGACTGTTAATGTTCTATTTGGGATTACACTTTCTCAGTAACGTACAGCTTCTGTGATTCGAACCCACACTCTCAGTTTGAGGTACCTAATCACCAGCACACAAAGTCAGTGACCTAACCCACTCATCCATCTTAGCTTCCACAAAATTGGACCTTTAACACCTGATAGTCTAGATACATACTTTATGCACTCTATGTCAATCACTGTAATATCCTGACAGTTATTCACAACTCCTTTTCCCACAACGTTGTGGAGTTTTGTATTACAAACAAAAACATGTTTGTGTATTGATTGACTGTGACACTGGTTTGTGTTTTGCAACTCGGTCGGCACAGAAGGAGAAGAAGTTGGTTGAGGTGATTGTGGAGGATGACGATGAAGACATGGAGGAGAACTAACAATGCACAACAGTGTCAGCACACAGGATGGAGAGATTTCATTTCATGCTCATCATGAATATACACATCAAGGCTTATTGATATGGTCTTTGTTCAGACAATTGACATGACTTGTGCAGAAAAAAATTACATGTATTCATGATAGTAACTCTTCAGGTGAAAGAGTGTTTTTGTCATGTGATATTCACTATTTCTCTGTTGCAAGATCCTTTGTTTTGAAATAAAAGTAAATACTTTTCACATGGTGCACGAAACATGTTTAATCATAGTAATGTTTTGACAATTTCTTGGTGTGATGAAGATTGTGTTGCAACCTCAGATCGTTCACTCTCTGAAACAAGTTCATCTTCCATAGAATCTGTAGTGTGGGCAAGTTTAAAATAAAGATAACTTAAGATCAACATATTGTGCATAGCCAGGGTCGAGGCTGTGTTTGTTTGGTGCATCCTAGGAGTCAATGCAAAACTATAACCCTGGTTTGCTGGGAGTAAAATTTGAAATGTATTGCTCTTGGTCATTTTTGCAGACATGAGAATAAATTATCACAGTACAAAACTTTTGTCTTGTTTCTTTTTGTCACTATGATGAGGTATGTTTTTTTTATATTAAAACAGTGTAATAGTTTCTGTACACTAAATGTTGCCATTATTCATGACAGTATGTTTTTGAGTATTAAAAGGAATTTGCTGTTGCTTATGTACTTGCACACGGTAACACTTGAAGTCTGTTACATAGGGAGACATTGCATCTTAGAATTATTCCTTCTTTTGTTTTCATTCGACGGCTGGATGTCGTCCATGAAACATCCCGTGAAAAATGGGTGGCATCGACACCCTTTTCCAAGGCATTTTGGTACAACTATGACCAAATGCTGAGTCTGCAAGAGCATCAAGCACTTTGACCAGTTTGCAGGCAACTGATAGATGATGAAGATGGCCATCTAGGAATTACCAAGATTCAACCACTTTTGTGTTGATCCCGGCATCACAAGGCAGTTTCAGCACTGCCGAACCCATTATATCAAACAGTTTGGAAATTGCTTGCAAAAAAAGTGACCGTGATGACTGAATATGTAAAAAAAAACGAAAATGTTTGACCAGAATATGTGTTGATCAATGTGATGACAAACACCAGAGTTAACTTTTGTCTTTATTAACCAACTGCTATTCATATCTGATTACTTGAAAGATGGTGCAAAATGATATGATTATTTGATGAAAATAAGATGTATATCAAGAACTAAAGTAAAGAACAATGGATACAATGCAAAGGTGTGGGTACAACCAATAATAACATTGAGAAGTCAAATAATCATAGAATAACTTTGTTTGGCTTTCAGTAATTTTTAGATCAATCTGAAATGAATAACACAGATACACGGAGAAAAGACCTTGCTGCATGCACCATTATGACATTCGATATGCCTTAACATGGCCTTTGCAGATATATGTGACTGTATGACATTTTGTCTGTCCAAGTGCTCAAGAATCGAGCAGCATGGTAACAGCAACATGGGAAGACGGTAACATTGTTGACGTCCAAGTAACTTGGAAGACGGCAACACATTTTGCTCGATTTTTGTGACATAAGTAATGATCCAGTAAACATATGGGTTCTTGCAGACTGATCTCTACAAACACTATTTCCTAACATAATTCCTCAGCTGTGTTGTAGTTCCAGAACTGACTGCCGTTATGTATTCTGCTCAGTGTGTCATAACTTGTTTCGTATCAAATGTCATGGTAAAACTTCATCACATCTAGAACTTTTAGAAACAGTTTATCCATCCAGTCAGATCTTATAAATGAGTATTGTAATGTTGCCCTCTACCCTACTACTTCATGTTTATGTGCATTCTGATCTTCGGTTTAACATTAAAGCACGCGGGTGATTTATGGCCGTTCTTGAAAGGAACGTGCTGGGTGAACTAGAAAGCGTTAATGGCCAATCGTCAGAGTTTAAGAGCTAAGTTGTCATGAAGAAAAGTAACGGACCAGGAATAGCAGCAAACGTACATCACTGACATAGCAACACGGATGTTATGAATGAATCAAACGTTCTAAACCCTTTAACTACTGAGTTATTTGACAAATTTACCCGTAACCACATCGACAGTCATATACAACAAATATACAGACTTTCTCGTATGTTCATTGCCTTTTATTATTTACAATACGCTTTTAATTAATAATTCTGTATTTTTTTCGGAAATGAGTTGAGAGAGGAAGTTGGAGACAATAGTTGCAGAACTTCAAGTAAGCAGTGTGTATCACAAGGGTATATAAGGGGCTAAGTCAGACAGCCACTTATGAGTGTGAGCGCCGGCTCAAACTGCTTACTCTGGACCAATAATGAATACATGTATCACTATTACAAACGACAAGATTAACGTCAAAGAATAAGGGCTCGAATAACAAGTTCCATTGGCGTGAGAGAAGGCGTTTTAGAAGGCAAGAAGAAACATGAGGCGCAGTGGAATGAACTGCATTATATTATTTGAATCAATATAACTTATTATTACTAATGGTAGTTCATTTGCGTTAGAGCTCTGTTCGAATGTGAAGTGGCGTTCAGGACAGTTAGAAGAGACGTGCGTTGAGGTATAATGAAATTACATTACTGGAATATATGTACCATGAAAAACAATTACGCTGTAAAAGAACCTTCATTGCAGGAATACAAAAAAACAGTACTGATGGAAGCAGCAAAAATACACAAACACATCGAAGTGTTATGTACCAATGATAGCATCCCTAAGAAACAACAAATAGTTCAGCCGAAAAATCCCCATAGAAAGATTCCAATTGTCATAAGCACAAATGCGTTGACGTTGACGAACATTCTCCACTTGGGCTTCTCCTCTATAGATGTCAACACCTTCCTCTGTATTTCCTCCTCTTCCTCCGAGATCTCCTGAGCCTGGGGAGGTTCATACCCGCATACCAAATATATGATACGTCGCCACTTCGGCAAGGAGGCCACATCTGTGAACGAAAGCCAGGAGTGAATGCTATAAGTTATATGCTTCTCTCGTGGGAGAAGCATACAACGTATTTATCTTACCGCCTTGTTAAATGTACAAAATATTATTTTATTTTGAAGATCGCTACCGACTATATGACATGTAAACAAAATGGCGTTTGTTTCTCGACTAGATTTTTAAAATCAGTGAAACATATTCTGACAAGCTTAAAAATGGTTAATTAAGTTTAAGTTGAGTGTGCAAATGATTTAATGTAGATTCTATAAAATAGTTGATATAAAGCAGTCGGTAAAAGAAAGGTGTACATAGTGAACTCAAAAACAGATAATCGAACGGTTTTCAAACTCCGTGCACTGCATGCGTCATATTATGACGTCATACGATATTTAGCGATACAGCTTCTCGGCGGAGAGTTTGGCGGTTACCGTGGCAGCGGGTAATATTTTTTTCCAGTTGTCATCCTCCTGGGAGGGTTTAACTTGTTAAAGCGTCATTGACCAATGAAAATAAAGTACTTTACATGAAGGTAAGATAAAATACTGTATGTTCATGTTTGCATGGTCCCTTCTGCCCTTACATGACTGAAAACGATTACTGAATACAATAGTGATACTCAAGTGCACAATTCATTTTCACGCGCGTTTCAATGGTCATTTAATAAACCTCTGGATTCGCCTATGTGATACAGTACAACCAGACATTATTGAGAATTTAAGATTTTTAAAAATGTTTCACTCATTACTCACGTATTGAATGT